TATCTGGTTTTATAGTTCAATGGCCCCAGCAAGGGCAATGGAGGGAGGTGGGGCTGTCAGGTCGTGCTGGCCTTAAGAAGCAGTTTCCCCGCAAGCCCAGGGGTAGGCCTGGGAATCTCCGAGATTATATGATGCTCTCAGCCAGGAGGGCCCCTGCTAGGGCCTGGGTCATTGCTTGAGGGCTTCTGGTCAGGAGGAGTTGGCAAAGCAGGGAGTGAGGATTCTGGCCAGGTCTGGCCCTGTTTGGCAGATTGTCTGCAAGGATTAAGACCCAGAGACATCCTTTCAGTTTTTGGGCTACGTCCCTGTGGATGGGAGTTACTCCTCTTCACATCACACAAAGTTATGCTGTTCCTTCTCTAAGAGCCAAGGCTCCTTCCTACCCGAATGGACACAGCCCCTTTATCTATTCCTGCGCTCCACATCCCCTAGGGCACTAGTGCGCTCACCTGGGCTCCTCCCTCCTCTCTTCCAATAGGATGCTTTGATCACAATGCTTCTACCCGCTGCGTCAGTGACCACTTTTTCATCACTCACCTGGGACCACAGGTCCCAAACCCAAGGGAATATTCTCCATCTACCTGGCCTCTCCTCCTACCACCTCACCTGGTCCATATACCCGGCCTGGCATCTCCTTATCCCCATGGGCAAGGCCAAGCCCACCTCTGCCCAGCCTCCCCCGGGCAAGGATGGGGCCTGCCCTTCTCCTCTCAAATTCTGTCACTTGTTGATTCTTCCAATTAGGAAAAGAAAGCAAAAAAACAAGGCCAACAGGATGACCGTAGAGCATGTTAGCATCAAAGCGCTCAGGGACCGTCACCTCAGTATGGGCGCTTCTCTGAGGCCCACAGGACGCTGCAAACTGCAGTGGCACGCAGTGGGGTGACCAGCTTCTCCCAGATTGCCCACAACTGCCATGTCCCAGCAGCCTCCTCAGTCCCAGGCTGACGAGAACAGTTGATCACCCCACAGCACAGTGACCCAGGGGCCAGGTCAATGCTGGCGCAAGGCTCACCCTTTATTACTGAGAGGACTAAAAAGAAACAAGGGTCCAAGAGTGGAGGAACATGGCAGGAAACCATGGGACATGGCAGCAAGCAGCATTGGGGGCGCCTCTAAAGGGACTAGCTTGTCATCTTCCCCGCTCCCCCAGCAGGATGGGGGTCCTGACCTGTCACCCCTCCTGCCCTCAGAAAAGCCCAGGAACAGGGGGCTTCTTTGGCACTTCAGAATGATCACAAGTAATTTGCCTTTTTATTCATATAGAACAAAATTTACAAAGCCATTCATACAGTTTTTGTGTTTTTTTTTTACTGACTTCGAAAATTGGGAATATTCAAAATACACTTTTACCCCACTCCATTCTGTCATTATTTACATGTATGTACAAGAAAAATGAAAGAGTCCTTGTATGTGTGTGTGTGTGTGCGTGTGTGTGTGGTTGGTGTTGCTGTTTCCTCGTATTAAAAAGCTCTGCTGGTCGGGTGGGTGGAAGGGCAGCACGGTCAGATGGAGGTGCCGTGGGAGGTGTCCAAGGCCTCTGGGAGGACGCCTCCAGGCACGGGCTGGAAGGACATGGGGATGGGGGTCTTCACCGGGCTCTGGCGGAACAGTCCCCCGTTGGGCGACCTATGTTTGCACTGCATGGAGGGCATGGTGGCTGAGCTGCTCAGAGGCAGCGGCAGGCTGCTGCTGGGCCCTGACGACAGTGTCCGGCTGGTGCCATGGCTGCTTTGCTCCGGCAGAAAGGTGCTGACCGAGAGCTGGGTGTTCTGGTACTCCCGCGTCGGCTCCAAGGTCTGGCTGGGAGCCAGGCCCCCCATCTCCAGGGCCGAGAGCTCGATGGACGCTGCGGAAATCTGCTTGTGAGCAATGTCTTCATCCATTAGACTGTTCATGCGTCGATGGACCTGTTCCAGATTCACTTCTTTATCCTGGCGGGAAAGCACAGGGAGGTCAGGCTGAGCCCTAATGTGAGCCAAGGCTGGCTTTCTACAAACTCTGGGAGGCCTGGAGACCCCAGGCCTTTTCAGCCTGCTAGACAGTGGGTGAGCATGCCCCCATTTCTCCCTCCTCCCCTCAACTGCATGGCCAGCCCTCAGTTACCTGGGAAACCAGCAGCCTAGGACACCATCCCTAGGTAGCAAAGACCCAGCACACGGGCCTTGGCAGGATGGGCCCCTCCTCTCCACTCTGCTTAGAATTGCTGCCGTACCCAGAGCAACCCTTGGGAGAAGATGCTTTGAAGAACTGGCAGAGACAGAGGGAGAAGAAAAGAGTCCCATGGGAATAAAACGAAATGGTCCTTGAGCCCTTAATGTGCCCCCCATATTTGCCATTTAGACTTCACAGCGCTCCAAAGACTTGGCTTGACCATCCCCACCTTATACAAAAGGAGGCGTGGGTTCGGGAAGGTCAGTGACCTCCCCAGAATCACAGCACAGTGAACTGGAGGCAGCACTGGGAGCCTGGAGCAGAGAGTGAAGTCCTGCCTCATGCTGAGGCGTCTGTTGTCCCTGTGCAAAATCTCCAGGGAAGCCAGGAAGGAGGCAGGTCTGTGTCTGGAAGGCTCACGAGGCCTCTTTCCTGGATGATGAGGCGGGGGCATGAGGAAGGGACCTCCCAGGGCTCGGCTGACCTTCCTGGTATCATGAGGGCTTGAGGCTGCCGAGATGAGTGACCCTCACACCTGACTCTTTCTCCGTATGCTGAATGGCATCAAGGAAATGATTTTGTTTGTTCATTTACTTAAGAAAAAAAATAGAACACACATCATTCCTTTCAAATAACCTGATGTTTTGTCTGCAGTGTCAGAATAAATCAAGGAGGCAAAATTGCTTGAAATCTCCTTAAAGACCAAGAGGATGTCATCTACTTCTTTGTTTCCCCCCGGCGAGGAGGGACACATTCCAGGTGTCCATGAGTAGCCACCCCAGCTCCTTGACGAGGTGTTAGAAGTTGCCAACCTATTTTCAGGCAGCATGAGTGCCGACGTGCCAGGCAAGGTCATGCCTACTGCCTACGCTTCCCTGATGTCAAACTCCAAGAGAAATGGCATGTCAGAGATCAACTCAGAGCTGAACACCACAGGCTGTCTAATGTTGGCACCAGCATAGTAGACAGAGGGACCAGTCTGCTGCCCTCCTTGGAGGGTTGTTAGAAATATCATGAAATATAGAAGCCCTAAATGTGTTTGCAAAAAAAAAAAAAAAAACCAACAACAACAAAGAAGGAACCACACAAGTCTAAGTGCCTTTCATTGGCTGATTTGAGCTCCTATGGGGCTGGAGAGAGAAGGGTCCCCCCAGGAAGTGGGAACCCTAAATACCTGATGTGAGCCCCGCCTCACAAGAGTGTCCAACCATGGGGCTAACCCCCAAGAAGTCTCAACCCAGCATTTCTCAGGCAAGGAAGCTGCCTCTGTAAGTTGACTCCTTGCTCCTAACACCCTTTGGCATGGAGAATGCGGGGCCACTGCTCTCTCCACAGCTTTGTTGAGTTCATAAAACTGGCACACAGAGCCTGGCTTCTGGTGGGACCCCTGCTGTCTTTCCCAGAACCCTTCCCAGGACAAGAAAACTGACAACACTCATAAGACAATGAAGAATCCATTTCAGGGGCCAGCCAGGTGGTGTAGCAGTTAAGTTTGCATGCTTAGCTTCGGCGGCCTGGCGTACGCTGGTTCAGATCCTGGCCGCGGACCTACACAGTGCTCATCAAGCCATGCTGTGGTGGCATCCCACATAGAAGAACTAGAAGGATTTACAACTAGGATATACAACCATGTACTGGGGCTTTGGGGAGAAAAAAAAAAGAAAAGGAAGAGGAACATTGGCAATACGTGTTAGCTCAGGGCCAATCTTCCTCACAAAAAAATTGATTAAAAAAAAAAAGAAATGTGGGGAGGGAACTGGAAAGAACCTTAGGGAAAAAAAAAAGAATGCATTCCAGCCCAAGAGGAAACCTGAGAAGAAAGCCAACTGGTTTGAGGGAGGAGGAGACCATGGGGTATGGCTCAGTGTCTGGTGACAACATCAGAAATCCTTGTTACAGTCCCACGGGCAGAGCTAAGATTCCAGTGAACTGAAGCCCCACACAGCAGAGCTCAGCTCATGATGCTGGGAGGGAAGCTCTGAGTTGGGGACACCCCTGGGTGGCATGTGTCATGGGTGAAATTAGAAGAAGTAGCTGGAGAATACGAGGCCTTTACTTAGCCTGGCTAAACACGATGTGTGCACTGTCTTTCACTGACTCCTTCAACAACTGGCAAAATATATGACCAACCAACTTCAAGTTCTCATCTTAATTACCTTACAGCATGGTTGATCCACTTCTGCAGAACCTTGCTGTGTTTTATTTATCCGTCTTCTTTTTATTCTTGCATGTGAAACTATTTTTAATAGTATTTATAACTGCCATATGGGGCACTGGCTGTTTTCGGGCCACTGAGCATCAATTCTCCCTTTCCAAGAAGACCATAGTTTATTTGCTTTTGGGGAATTACTTATTTCCCACTAGATAACAGTTTGACAGGTGCCTTGTCCACCTGTAGCCAAGAGGCAGGACCATGACCCAAGCAGGGACAATAGGACAGAATCTGAATCCTGAACAAAGAGACTAAGAGACAGAAAATATTCAGCGTTCCATCCATTACAGCGGTAGTGCTCCACCAAACTTTCTATTCTGAGGCCATCCTCCTGGATCTTGCCTTCCAACCCTCTGGACAAGTCTTAACTCCTGCCCATCACCCAGCCTGCTTCTCCAGCCTCCTCAAGGCTGCTCTGAGCTCCTGATAAGCTTCTGATATAGCTCTTTCATCTGCATTAGCCAAGTCAGCGCCACAGCTCTGTTGGTAAATATGCATATCTACAGGCTACTTGCATTTCAAACTGTATGAAGGGTGCAAGACAGGTACCAGAGAGCCTGGAAGCTGGAGAAATTGAGAGTGAACTTCAGACACTTTTAGAGTTTAATAATGTAACCTTCTCTTTTCTTTGCAGCCAGCAAAGCTTGGAGAAGACTGGACGAGCCGATGCCCCTGCTTCTGCTCGCAGAGCCTAGAGTTTCCACGGAAGGAAAACTGATGACCATTGGTCCTGGGATCATTGGAAGAACTGGTGAGTTGCATAATCTTGCCTTTTCCTCCTTTCTATTTTCTTTTCAGGGCTTTAAGGATGATTTTGGGGATGGAAAGAAGTAAAGTTGAAGAGTAGACTAATTTGGAGGGGGAGGTGAGTGTCTTGGTCCCAGTAGGGTTCACTCTGGCTTCCGGCAGTTAGAAGAGAGAGCCTGGCCCTTTTTCTCAGAGTCAACTGAACACGGGGCCAGGACAAATATTCAGGGGATGCTCCACATTTTGCTGTGGTCTAGAGGTAGAGAAAGGAGAGCTTCCTGTCCAAGAAGGCCATAGGGAGGCAGAGACTTGAGAGTGGAGGTAGAGTGGAAGGAGCTCTCTCTACCAGATGCCAGGGAAACAAAACATAGGCAGAGCTCTGGGGGAAGACCAACCAACCAAAATCCTCTGAAGAAAAATGTGAGCCAGGGAGGTCTCTGAGAAGGGGTCCTTCCCCACTGAGGCACAGGGAAAGGAGGTTTGCGGGTGGCGCTAATAGAAGTGGTAGGCACAGGCACCGATCTAGCAGGATATGGCAGCTGTGAGCAGTTGATAAGGTAATATCAAAGCACTAGAATAAAGACCAGCCCAGAGTGTGGGAGTCGACGCAGCCCAGTTTCCCTAGAGTCAGTCTTTTTGGAGGAAAGAGCTTGAATAAATAGTTTCTTATATCCATATATTTTTTTTCTTGCCTCAAATTAAGGACAAAGGAAGCATTTCCAAGAAGGATTGCACAGCTGTGCAGTGGGTCTCAACTCCCGTTTGAGGTTACTCATTAACCTGCAACCTCTCCATCTCAGGACACAGAGAAAATGTCCACACTGATTAAACTTACTTCCCAGGGACACCTCCACACCCCAAATGGCAGTTGAGAAATTCATCCTCGCCACACCAGTGGGACCTCGCTCTGTTCAAGTTCTATTACTGTCTGTAGCCCCAACACAAGAACACACCCTGGAAGAACAGGGTGCCATCATGAGCTTCCTATATTGATTAATTAAGTTACCTGGTAAGAAAATGGGTAGAACGCAAGCAGATGCCTCCATAACCTCTCTGGAAAACAGACGCAGCCCCTTTCCTTCCGAGGCTCCTGATGTGTCCTCTAAGCTGCCTGCTTCTGCCGCTATTTGGGGACCAGAGATGCAGTGCAGAGAACTGGAGAAAAGCTCTTTGCTTGGAAGCTCTGGAAGCACTGTCTCCTTGGACCACCCGAGGTCACAGATTTAACACACACTAAGTCATGTCTGGTGGCCCGTGGCCAAGCAAAGAGGAGGCAGAAATAATCTGCCTGCTCAAGGTAAGAGGTAGGAGTGATTTGAATAATTATCTATATTTTAGACAAAATGGGGCATTCTATTATGTTATGCAAATTCAAATAATAGACTTTTTTATGTGAACTACATCAGTTTACATCCTCATTATCTCAAGGTTTCGGTGTTCAACCAGGTAATGACAGCTGTGGAGACAGACTTGGAAATTTGCTGCGCCTGCATTAATTTACTGGAGGTAACTGACCTAGCCAGACATCCCTAAATATGACATAAAATTCACTGACTGCATTTATCCATGAATCCAGCCAAATTCCAGCCCTGCATTTCTCACCTCCTATTAAACATAACGACAGATGCACCAACAGAGGTTACTAGGGACCCTCTCTGAGGCATTGTCTTGCTGAGAGATAAAGTTCTGTAATTAAGTCGCTGTTCACCAATGTGGAAATAATACAGTGTATTGGAAAGCAGTAATTAACCCAACTATCGTCTCTGTAACAGCCAGTTACACGTGGGACTCATTAGAACTGACTTTGTTTGGAGTCCAATGGCTCCTACTTTCAGTTGGGCAGGAATAAAATAGGGTGTGGGACTTCCCACCTGACTGGAATGCTTCTAGGAGGCGTTCTCTTGTTACCACTGGGACCAACTAGGTGGTAAGTGAGACCCAACAGCTAGGAGAAATGCCATCAACCTGATCTTCTTAAGTGTTGCTCCAAAGACTTGCCCCACCCCAAAGGGCTGGGCTGGGGGTCTGAGAGTAATGGTTGTGTAAGAGCAAAGAAGCTGAACGTTAAGTCAATGAAGTGGTCACAGGAGACAGTGCAGGGTTTCAGATCATCACGAGAAAAAGTTCTGATGGGCTCCATCGCAGATTTTGTAGGGGAGGGCAATGAGAAGAGAGAGTTCGTGAACACCTCCCATCACAAGTGGTCACAGTTTGTGTACATGGGGTGAAGAGACTTGCTCAAGTTGACACAATTCCACAGTAAGTGGAATGTCAGGATCAGAGTCCACATCTATCTGACTCTAAAACCTGACACCTTTTCCACTATTCCAGGCTGTGCGTTCCCAATTTCCTCTTGGAGGGATGGTGCAGCCCAGTTTTTTCATTTTTGGCAGGATATCAAAAGAACATGTGGAGCTTCTAGAAATTATAGTTGCCCAGATCTACCTAATATGACGCTTTGGGGGACAGAGCGCAAGCATCTGTATTTCTAAAAAGCTCCAGGATTAATCACCTCTGATGTGCAGACAGAATTGGAAGCCACTGATCCAAGTGCAGTGATTACACAACAATTTAACACTAATAACGTTTTCTTTACAGGAGCCCAGACTGGTTTATTCATTCAATAAACACTTCGGAGCTCCTACTACCTGATGGGCTAGTGTTCTTGGTAAAGTACCCGTCTTGGTCCCTGGCACATAGCAGGCGTTCAATAATTCAGTTTATTCATCACCCTTAACAAGAGGTTCCACTCATTCAGAGACTGGGCAAAGTGATGGGAAAGCAGGGGTGGGGAAGCGCCAGCAGACTTGAAGCAGAGACAGGCAAGTAAATCATGAGCGGCAATTCAGAGTCACACCCAGCAAGAGTGTATACACAGAAAGGTGACCCGTGGAGGTGGGCAGGGGAGGTTTTATGGAAGGAAGTGATGTCTGAGCTGGGTTTGAGATACACACTGGTGTCTGATAAGTGTCCAGTGCTTTCTCACTGGAAGGCTCCAGGCTAAGGGCTGAAACACACACTTGCTCTCCTCACCCTCATGCGAAGTGGTCTGATGTCAGCAGTGTGACCATTGGGCCAGATTTAGTTTTCAGCAGAAGAGAGAAACTGGGGTCCAGAGTATGTAAATACCTTGCTAGGAGCCAGGAGCCTGGCTCAGGGAAGGCCTCCCAGTTACACCCTTCCTTCTCCAAACCCTCTAGCAAATGCTAGGTAGGAACGCCTGCTCCTGCACACGTCCAACGGAAGGCCAAGTAGCAGACATATCTTTCATATCTCAGTTCAGCTCCTGCCACTTCTGAGTCCCATTCCTCCAGGGAGACAGATGCCTTCCTCAAATGTCATTGAAGAGAGTCAAGGAGAGTTAAGAAGATAACATGTCATTTTCCTGGCACAGAGAAGGGGCCCTAAGACATGACTCATCATCCTCACATCCCTTACTGCCCATCACAAGGTCCTTTAAGGGAGTAGCCCCTTGGCCACCAATCCGCAAGCAGTCTCATGGGGCAGGTGCTGCATAAGTCACTTTAGACATCTTCCCTCGTTGAACCTCAGGGTGACACTATGAGGTTGGCATAAATGGGCAGGGAAAAGATACAGGAGAGAAAAATCTCTACGTGGCGTTGAAGAAGCATCAGAGGAGTGGAGGCAGAGAAGGGTGTTGAGCCAAAGGGAGTGTTTCTAGGATCAAATCTTCCATGGTGAGCAGGAGTGCATCCTAGGGGCATGCAGATGGAAGCCGGCCCACCTGCTGGAGCAGAGGGGCCTGGCTGCCACTCTGCCACTGCTGCCTGGCCACCCTGGCCCCAATCAGCTCCTGTCTACGGGGGAAGCAGGACCGAGGGAGGGCAGGCAAGGCAGGAAGCAACAAGCATTCCAAGCTCCCAGCCTAGTGACGGATGATTCATCCCTCACCCCTCATGTCATCTCCTATTTGTGCAGTTCTCATCTTTATTTCATGAATATTTTATTCTCAGAGCAATGGCTCCACTTCCCCCATAAATCTAGCGAGTGGCTCTTGACTGCGTCTGCGGAGCTTGGCGCATCACCTGCATTGGGTAACTACATAATCGTCTGATTCCTTAGAAAAAAATATGAGCTCAAATCCACATGAATATTAAGGGGTTGAACACACATTACTACTCTTCCTCAAGTAGGTGTCTAAACGCTGAAGACATCCCAGCATAAGCCATTAAACATGACTAGGACGCCACCCAAAGACAGGTTTCTAGCTCTTAAGAAATATGGCCAATGTCCCAAAACGAAGCATTCTAAGATTAACCAGACACTCTCGCCTAATTGCAAATGCTGCTCCATAAAACATGGGCAACCAGTAACACAAAGTAGTCCTAGATGAAATACCATCATTATTTGTTGAAGGTTTTAAAGATATGCTTTTAGGGGCTGGCCTGGTGGCATAGTGGTTGGGTTCCCACGCTCTGCTTTGGTGGCCCAGGGTTCGTGGGTTCGGATCCCAGGTGCTCATGAAGACATGCTGTGGTGGCATCCCACATACAAAGTAGAGGAAGACTGGCATAGATGTTAGCTCAGCAAGAATCTTCCTCACCAAAGAAAAGGAGAACAAATATGCTTTTAAAATCCTGTTGCTTCAACCCCTTTCCTGGTTCCTATTCCCTCTGTGATGAGTCCAAACCCCCTGGCATCTGAGTCCTTCAGAGCAAGGCCCTGCTTCCTACCCCAGCCTCCTCCACCCCCATTTCCTTGCTGATGGTGATGCTCCAGCCTGCAGAGCTCCGGGAGGGGTGGTGGCTTTGTTTACCCCCATGCTGTTCACCCTGCCTGAGGGGAACTTCCAACCTCATCTGTAGCTCTAAGATTTGTACCAATTCTTCAACAGTCAGTTCGAACAAACCCAAGCCCTACAAACTCTTCACTAACTAGTACCCCTACCCTCCATGCCCCACCACACGCTGGCTGGGCTGGGTACCCCTCAGAACTTCCAGGGTACCTCTGCTTGCTTCCAGATGGCTCTGATCAACAGGATGGATTGACATCTCTGCCACATCTACCTATGTGGAGGTAAGCCCCCTGAGGACAGGGGCAGTATTGCTATAGGCAGAGTCATTAAAGGAAGAAGGGGAGAGAGAGAAAAATTTCATTTGAGAATCAGAAACCCATAAAAATAGGAAAAAGATGGAATATTTCCTCTTTTTTTTACTATGTAGCTCTTTTTAGCAACCCAGAAGAGGCTGGAGGAAAGGCAGCTAGTGTGCTTTTCCAACCTGTCTCTTCTCCGGTCCTCGTTCCTATCTAGAAGTAGGTTGGCAGCCCAGGGAAGAAAGTTCCACGTTTTCTAAGCTGAACCAATGTCTTTCATCTTCTCTTGTGCCTGTGATTATGGGCTTATGCAGAAGACAGAAAGGAAGATAGGATGCTAGGTCATCCCTTGGTCTCCTGGTCTTTCTCTGTCTTTCTCTCTTTCATTTTGCCTTCTGTGTCTCTCCAATGATCAATCTGTCTCTCAATCCTTCTCTCTCATACACACACACACATACATGCACACACACACATCATGACAATTCATTCTGTGCTGTCCAGGCTGAACACTGTCACTAAACACTGATGTAGGGGATGTGAAGGGACATGACTGGAAGCAGACAAGGACTTCCAGACCAGAGGAAGGATGGCCTCTCCCAGTACCTGGCTCACAAGACATTTTGGAGGGCTGAGCCTGTGTCCCCTGGGCCCCCATTCTGCCCACACCATCCCAGGACAGCGCAATGCTTGCTCCATGGCAATACGATGCTCCCCAACCTGGAAAACCCCTCCTGCTCCCCTGATCCAGTGGGCATTTGCACAGAAGAAATCAGGCTGCAGACTTAGGCAAAAAACACAACCAAAAACAAACAACAAGGAGAGTGGGAGCCATGTGAGCTGGTCCTCCCTAGTCCTACTGGGGGTGGCTCCAGGGCCACTCCACTCTGGCTGCCCGCTGATTCTTCTGTGCAGATGGACCTGAGTGATAAGCGGATGAAAGGTGTCCTGGCCACAACATAGAAAGAGAGCTGACACGAGTAGCTGTTTGTGGCCCTTCCTTAAAACCACACATCAGAATCATCCACTGGCCCTCCCAGCGACTTCTTTCTAGAAAATTTTCCAGGAGCAGAAGCTTGGGATGGAACCATGAACTGTTCCTTTCAGCGGGTTTTCCTTAAATCTCTACCCTCCTTCTCTCCTGTGGCCCGGGGGTGACAGGAGAGCCACAGAGGCTGTGGGAGACCCAGGTGTTGCATTTCCTTACATGGAAGTATACAGAAAGCACAAGAGGAAGATGGATGTCCCCAGAACATTGCAGACACGCTGAGGCAAACAGCAAGCTCGCTCCAGCAAGAAGTGTGATGACAGAGAGCTCACTGCCTGAAATGAATGAAGAGCATGTCCTCACCACCATCCCTGCCGGGGCCCCATCACAGACTGACCTAGGAGGGTGTGGCTGGCCGGTCTCTCCAGGCTGCAGAGATGGTGGCCACTGCAACGCTGCCTCCTTGGATTTGGTTTGGTTACTTTACTACTTCTTGTTTGAAATGTATCAACATAAGTATAAGTGGAGCTGTGGTTGTACAAGTAGCTGAGGTATATGCAGCACATAGCAACACCCTACAATGGAGTAGCTGGGCTTGGGCCACGATGCCCATGTGTGTGTTTCTGCTGGTAGAGCATCATCACCAAATCACACTCCTGGCCACCCTCCCTTAGAGGAATTGTCTCCAGGGGACCTTGGTGAAGATTGCAAATAAAAAAACAAAATGAGCTTGAAGAAGAGGAAAACCCCAGTGAGAAGGAAGTGTGAAGGCAGAATCAGCTTGCGGTTGGTGCGCACAGGGAGGGAGGTGTGCCCAGAACCTGGAGTCTGGACAGAGCCACAGTGTTCCTTGTGCTGGGGGTGCCCTGGAGGGACATGGGCCAGGCCGGGCCCTGCAAGGAGGAGGGAGAGAGAGAGAGGAAGGGGTGGTAGGAGGAACAGGGGCCAGTCCCCACTCACGCTGGGAGAGCAGGGCCCCATGGCCCTTGGGGAGAAGCCAAAGAGAACCAGGAAGGAATGCAGTCTCCTCTCTTACCCTACAGTTGGTCTCTCCAGGTCAGGGTGGAGGCACATGGGCAGGGCAGGGTGGGGAAGGGCTCTCTGGCGCTGCTCATGCTGTACCCGCTCTATAGATAAATACAGGACTTTAGTGGCCATGGCTGGTGCCTTGGCACTTTGTGCAAGCATGAAAACATCCCTTACATTTGTCCTCTGGCCTTTAAATCAAAATAAAGCAATGACAGCATCCCCCAATATAAAACACTGCAGCATCCAGACCGGTGACTCTGGTAAATACTAACTGGGAGCAAACCGCCCACCGAGTGGCCCAGGGTGACTGTCCTGCCTCTAGGCTTTGGAAAAGAGACACAGGACCCAGGGCACAGACCTCTTTGGGGGTCTCCTGGTGGCACCGGTTGCTGTTCCACCACAACTCCAGGGCGGCCACCAGGCAGGCAAGGAGGAGGCCGATGGCCAGGATGCAGAAGACCCCGGCAAAGCTGTGCAGCTTGAGGGATTTGCCATCAGTCTGGGCACTGGCGTGGCTGCTGAGGTCGCAGCGGCCTGTGTGTGGCCACCACTTCTGCTTGAGCACATCCAGGTCCCCGGTGTCCTGCAGCTCCAGGATCCTGTAAGACACAGTCCAGGTGAGCCGCAGCCACTGACATCATGAACACAGCCAGGGGGGCCCTGGCCCCTTCCCTACTATGCTAGGTCCTCTGCAGACAATGCTGAACCATCACAGCGGCCCTCTGCCTCCCAATCCTTTTCTCCTCCCAATCCGTTCTCCACTCCACAGGAAGAGTACTCTTCCCAAAATACACATTTGGTTTTGTCACTCTCCTCCTCAAAAGCCTCAGTGCCCTCTCCCACCCTGTCCCACTGCCCATGGAAAGAGTTCAAGAGCAGAGCACATAAGGGCCCTTCACATGGGACCCTGGGGCAAGCTCTGAGGATAAAATTAGGGGATACAGAAATGGATGCAGCAGACCCTCAGACTGTGGGCTTAGGATGTCCATGCTTACGAAAATGCTTTCTTTCAAACCTCAATAACTATAGCCTAAGTCTCTCCCACTAGAATTCACCAAATCATTCACTCATTCATTCAACTTGAGGTGAACCTGCATTGGGCCAGGCACGATGTTCAACACTGCTGAGCCCGCAGTCTAGAGACACATACACGAACAGGAAAACAGTTAGAGCAATCAGTGTGCAAACAGAAGTTGTGACCAATACAATGAAAGGAAAGTAGAAGTGCTAAGAATGGCGCACTGGGAGGGTGCCCCAGACCAGAGGGTTCGGGAAGACCGCATCAAGGAGGTGACAGGTAAGCAGAAACCTGAAGGAAAATTCGTCATAAAATAGCTCACACTCGTCTAGCACATGCTGTGTGCCAGGAGGTATCCTAAGTACTTGAAAAATAGTGTTTAATTCTCATGTCACCCCTTTGAGATGGTTATTTCCATCTTCCCATTTTTTACAGAGAAGGGAATTGAGGCACAGAGAGGAGAAATAGCTTACCAAGGTCACCTTGTGCTTGACAAGGATGGCATTCAATGAGGAGGGGTAAGAACCTTCTCAAGACTAGAACCTTGTTTAGAAGTCTTGTCTGGAGTACGTACTTGGCACATCTGAGGGGCTAATATGTGGCCAGTGAGGATGGAGAGCAGTGGGCGAGGAGGAGGACGGTGTGAAACAAAGAAAGCAGAGCAGGCAGAACCCACGAACATGAGCTCTGAGAGGGTATGAGAGGGAGCCAGGATTTTATTCTGCCTGAACCCCCTGCTGCTCCCGTCCTCCCCATGTAGCTGGCTGGATAGCAGTTTTCCTTGTGGCCGTATTTCATGGACTTCCTCTGTAACGCAGTGAGCTGGTGGGAGCTGGTGGTCCCCAGGCTCTTCATATCCAAGCTTTTCCATTGGGGAAGGGGCTCTTTAAGCCTGGTCCATGGTGATCTATTCAGCTGCCAACACCTTCAGTGACCTCTCTGAGCCCCCTGGGTGTGCACAGTTCGAGAACCCCGGTTCTTCGTAGCCACAAGCTCACTGCCATCTGGCCAGTCTCTGCCCTGGACCTGCTTGCAGGCCAGCTATGACCACAGGCTAAGGCTGAGCTCAATTACCATGCAGGGGCTGTGACTGGTGGAGAGGGTGGGTGACAGCCCAGAGGGCATCCCCTGACCCATCAGCTTCATGAGCCCAGCATAGCACAGCCTCCTGCTGGCTGGGAACAGCCTAGCTCAGTGCAAAGAACAGGCTTTGGAGGCACCAGATCTCAGCTGGGTTTCCCCAGGCAAGTGATGCCCCTGCTAACCTCGGCTTCCTTATCTTTGCAACACAGACCCACAATCCCCAGTGGATGAGCAGATCCTTCAAGACAGGGACTCTGGGTTACTCTCGTTTTC